TGTTTCCTATTTGCTTCCGCATAAAAGATAGATTCAAAGATGTGGATAACTATTCTTTTCTGCTCCTTTTTTATTTATGTCAATACTTAAGTTTTTACTCTGTCCTAGGCGTACAGCTTTTTTTCTAAGAACAAAGGTTGAAAGCCCGGCAAGTCTACGATTCTGCCGATGACGAAGTATAAAAAAGAAGAAAGACATGCCTTTTTCTGTTTCATGCAACTTTGTGCTTGAAACAAAATACGTCTTTTCAAGAACGTGGATTCACCCTTGAAGGAACGTAGCTTCGTCACTGCACCCGATAATCACAGGTTACATGAAATGTCAAGGCGGTGTTACCGTTTATTATTGGCTACATTGGAAATACAACTCATCAGTCACTATGAAAAAGAAACGTTTTTGCGAAGAAAATGAAGTTTCTTATTATATGTTTTCCTCTCTGCAGGAAGAGAAAGGTATGCTATTCTTACAGTTTTAAAGAAACATTTTTCTAGATCCAAAAATCCCACTTCTTAACTGGGCGTTGTTTGATCAAACGGCTTCGATGAAACGACGTTAAAGGAAATGACTTTCAATAAAACTGCGTTCGATGAAACAGTTTAGATGAAACGATATTCGATGAAACTGCGTTCGATGAAATGTCCGGATCCAGTTTATTTAGACAACGGCAAAATAGTCAGGCCCAGTAGGCGTCTCGTTTTCCGCTGTTTGGTGAGAAATGTAGCCAGTGCGGCAGCACTACCTGGGATATATAAGTGCATCAGGCAGTAGCGATACACAACCGCACACCGGTACGATGCCCGTTCAGATTGAAACGGACAGGGGTGGATATTGATTTAATTATTTCTGCGTTCTGCAGCGCGAGAAATGTTTGAAACCGCAACCGATGGTTTGCTAAGAGAACTATAGCTTGCCTAAAGAAATAACTCTGAAGAAACTAAAGGCCTTTAGCCAAACGTCGGCAGCCACTTTGAAACTTCCGGGAGCTTCCTTCAACAACTACCTTCGTAATTTCTTTGGACATACCGGATGTGTCTTGCGCACGTGCAAGCACGCGCGCAAACAACCCTTTGAGACTTTCTAGTAAGAAATCTTTGTATGCTACACTGGCTTTTGGGAACGCTCTTTTTTTTGTTTTTTGTTTTTGTTTGTACAGCTACGCAGCGAATAGAGGTTTTATGGAATAATAAAGAAACTCATTGTAATGTTCGGAACACAAGAATTGGGTAGAATTTGAGAGAAAAAAAGAAAGAACATCTTTTGCTTTTTTTCAGCAAAGAGTTCGTTGAGCCAATCATGGCTATCTACAGAACAAACTTGGCCAGACGTGGCTTTAGAGACATTGCTGTCATAACATTGGATTAAATTATAAACCTTTTAGTACTGAGTGATATAATTTATTTCTTTACGAAGGTGATTTAGAAAAATGTATTACTTTACGACAACATTATCAATAAAAGTGACTAATCTTTTACGCCTTACAGTCTTCAGACAACCGACCAAACAGCGTACCTACCCGAAAACCATGTTTAAAGAATCGGGCAACCCAACGGACGAATCCGAAGAGAAAACCGCATGGGCTCAAAAATTACGATTCGAGATCTGCACCCGAAGCTTGTAGGAACAACAGGATTTTAGACGCCTTGCGCTGTTAGGTTAGCAGCATAAGGCAACTAAAATTATCAAAATTATAAAAACTATTAAAAATAGCTCTGCATTGGTAATAATTGAAGTAATGGCAACGTTCTTTTTTAAGTAATGTTGTGACTTTAGATTTGCTCTAATGTTAAATATACCTTAATTAATTCTTAAGAATGTCCCGATGAGTAATTAGCAACGTAAAAAATATGCACAATCAAAAGTGACGTGGTAATATCTCAGCTCTGCGAATAATCATGCCTAAGTACCTATAAAAAAAAGGAACGAAGGCAAAGTTGTAGCCATGAGCATGGCACGAGCATGTGAAACGTCATGCGTTGTGTCAGATCATAGATCTTACTTCTAGTCTACGATGCATTTGTAGCCTTTTAATTCGCGAAACTTCATTTATATATCACAATTATCACAAAAATGGCTAACCGAGCGCTCTGCAAAAACAGAGGTTCACGGAAATGTTTAGAGTGTATGTCATAAGGAATGGCCGGGCACGTACATGCGTTTAACTCTCAATTAGCTTATCTAACAAGAAAACGCAGAATGGAAACATAAAACGGCTTAGAGTTCCGTCGTTCTACGTTCCCAAGATAGTTGAGGGTTCGGCTGCTGACTTCACTGCAATCGATTTTCGGCGTTCCGTTCGAGTCATAGCTCATAAGTTCAAATGTACTCGGAATGTATTTAATATCTGAAGTTCATGTCTTCGTGCTAAAGAAAACGATTCCTCTCTCTTAATACTAATAAGGACACTGTAGATTTTGCGTAAAAAATGACAATGAGCACGTAGAGATACAAGAAAGGCTTTCCGAGTCACAAGAATTTGTGGTGTGGGGTGGTTGGGGAATAAAGGGGGGGGGGGGGGGCGAGGGGGGGGGGGCAGCCTGCTTTTTAGTTTTTTTTTGTCTTTCGCAGAGGCACGATGACGCATTATGAGCATAACGACGTCCAAAACTGCCTGTAAAATATCAACCCATACAAAAGGTGATTGGTGCACTCGCAAGGAGGAAAACCCTGGGTTTTTATTGACTGTTTTTACAACACGTCACGCCATACTTCTTGAGGCGAATAATTCATGGCAAGTTAGCATCCTTTCCTTCTACGATTTCCTGACTTTGATCACAACTAATATCGCGGATGATGGACGATCCCAGCTAGTGATCTATAAGAGACCGATTTCTAGTATTCAAGCTCTTGTTAACAGATGTTTAACCTGTCGCTAGATGAACCTAGCTCCTGGTAACAGACTCCAAAGGATAATGAGGTAGAAAGCCGAATGTTTGAGGAAACGCACGTTTTACATGAAGATTCTGGGATCGCGTGAGAAAGTGCACTGATCGGATCAATGCTTCAAGAAAGGTATGCACCTCCAGCCTACATTGCGCAAGGATTTCATAGTACACTCTTACTACGTTATTGTTCCAAAGATTAAAATCTATAGTCAAGCAATAGCAAGAAAGTACTCGTACTGCGGGAATAAAAATAGAAAAGACGTGACTGTCGTTCGCGCGCCAACGTAAGTTGGGTTGCGTAAAAACTACGTGAGCGGAGGGCGAAACTTTTGCAGGCACCTGGGGAAATACCGTTATTGTGAAAGCAAAGGGTGAGGGGATAGTGTCTTGGAAGTAACCTAAGGATCAATAGTGAAGCCTGGTTTGAAGGAAGGGGAGAAGGAGCAATGAAGAGTGTGTGACATGAGTGTGCCTTGGTTTCCCAAACACCAGCGCCCCTTTCAGATACTCACGAACTCATATGACGTAAATCGAACTTAAAAAAAACTAAAAGAAAAAAACATTTGGATGCGAATCACAGCATCTAGAGGATCTCAAAAGCAACTTGTCTTAGAAGCGTGAGGTTCGTATTAAGGTTGCTTAATTTTTTCACCCATCTCATCGAAGGCACGTTCGTGTCTCCTCCAATCAGAACGACAGAACAAGGAAGACTTTTTTCTTTGCCGTGTTGCTTCCCTGAAACGAGACAGCTGCGGTGAGCCACAGCCGGATTTCTCCTCCGTACTTTAATATCACGTGTTCCTTCAAAACCCGAAAAAACGCTATGCAGCCACAGATAACGAAGTTGTGTTTCCTTCTGAAAAATTAGTGCCATGAAAGTTAAAAAAAAAGCCAAGGTATAACCAAACTCAATACTCCTTAGCCAGATTCTAGGTATTGTGGCCATAAATTTCCAAACATGGTGCAAGAGTAAGACCTCGCTGCCGGGTTGCTCAATAGTCACCGAATTTATTTTGCCTTCAGTTCTCGAGCAAATGAAAAACTTTGGCATCACTTATTGTTGTGCGGTTTTCACCTGGTATCTTTGGACGTACATTGCTAAACAAGGGCCAGAGCAAGGTCTTACTGGAGTCCTTGTCATCTGGAGTCGTTGGGACACAAATACCGAAAAAATGGAGCAGAAGGTTACTTAGAGCTTAGGACCCTGGGGTTGCTAAACTTGGGCAAGGTTAAGCTTTCGCTGGAATGTCGCCTCAGCTTGTATCACCAATCAGTTCAGCAAATGTGGAATCCGAACTGTGACGCGCCCTGTCATGCAGTCTCAGTGGCAGAAAGGCGTACATTCCTCTTGCCACCGAAACTGAATTATGAGAGATGCGGTAAGCCTTTGTACCTTTTCATTGACTGAACCGACTAAAGGAAGGTACGGAGCTGGCGACCCGACTCCATCAAAATGCTATGCACACTGAGGTTCTCATGAGAATCTGCCGTATGATACCGCCGTTTCCTTATTGTAATTCAATTCACTTTCGTACAATAGTTTTTTTCGGTGCCCATGACTACCCATGTTTTGACAATGATCCACAAAAATGGTAAGCTAACCAGTAGTAAATAATAGAACAGAGTCTGAAACAAAATATGTCAACATTCTATTCACTTTAGCAACCATACAAATGGTGCAAATATGCCACATTGTTTACCCCCAAAAAAACATAACTAACCAAGCATGTTGAAATGTTTCTCAGTAGCATTTGAAGTGCATAAATGCATGGCGGATTTGAAAACAGTGCAGTCGATTGTACCAAGTGTACAAGAATAGATTGTCTGTTTTTCAGTGAATATATTTTTGTAGAGCAATACAGTGTAAACCGTATTTTAAATTGTTCGCCAGCTGTGGGGACATCACCTGACAACCGCAAACAAATGACACATACGAAACTACTGTTTTGCGATGGCCGCAGTCTGTTATTTCTCAAAGTACTGACAATCCTATAGCAAACAATTTATCCACTTTTTGTCACAATGCTCCATAGCCCGGTAATTAAATTCATGTTCCAAACGTGCTAAGCCAACAAATATGTATATGGCTTTTTATTTACCTTTGGCAGGGGCAGCAACATGAAGTACCTCCTGACCTTCGTCGTCGCAGCTTGGATATGTGGGAGACTTCACGGGCCATCTTCATTCGTCACAGGGTTAACGATTTCAACGAATTCCAGCGAAGCTGAAGAAGCAATCATTTCCCGTTTTAAGTGCAGCGGGAATGCAATTTCGGAAAAACCTCTCGAATTCGCCTGTTCTAACGTGACGAACTGCGCGATTTACCAAGATTGTTGCTACGACACGAAGCCAAATATTACAAAAGCAGAAGTAAAAAAGCCATCCTGTGTTCCCGTGTTTTTCGACGACGAGACAGTACAAGACATCACGGTAATCGCAGACTGCAACGCTACATGGCCAGATGACGACATTAGAGGCGGCTGCGAAAATACGACCACTCACAACGAAACTTTCCATCATATCTTCGCCACTAGCTTATCCGGTTTTACGTACCGCAACGGATTTTGCGCTCTCTGCAACTACGACACAAAAAACTTGTCGTACTGGGAGATCACGAGCACGGACAACGCAACGCTTTACTTCAAACCACGGCACAACGAGTTCGAGGCTGATGTGAGACGGTGCGACTATAAACGAGTCTTTAACAGCACGTGTTCAAGTAATTCGACTGAGAAACAACGTAAGAACTGCGAGACGTACTTTGAACCCGTGCTTCAGAGTGAAACCCAAGCGATCTACAAGAATGTGTACTGTGCCTTGTGCAGTGAAGTGAACATCTCTTCTCTTGCGTGTCTGCAAGACGACAAGATGATCAGAATAGCTTTGTCGAACACGACAACTGAGACAACCAGACGTTTACGTTTTGCTGTTGAAAATGGGACTGTCTCTAAACGTGATGCGTGCTTCTCGTGGTACGAAGATAAGTGCTATATTAAGAGCGACGACTACCGGTATTCCAACGACACGCCATTCAACAAGGCCAAGGCAGCCACCAGCGGCGACGAGTCCTACACGTACACGTTCCAGAACTACCTGGTCATGGTGTGCATCAGCATCTCCCTCTTCTTTCTTCTTCTCAAGGCCGTCACGTACGTTTTCTTCGGAGCATCCAGAAGCTTCGCCTCCAGATGCAACCTGTGCTTATCTGGTACCCTCTTCGCTACTCAACTTGTCTACATCCTGTCCAGCTATCTGGACGTGTCTGATGACGTGTGCGTTGCGTCTTCCGTGATGCTTCACTATGGCTTTATCGCGACCTTCTCCTGGACCAGCGTCCTGTCCTTCGACATGTGGAGGAACATAGCCTCAATGCGAATAGCCACAAGACACGACCGCACGTTCGTCATTTATTGCTTCATCGCCTGGGGTGCACCGCTAGTGCTCATCGCCATCTGTTCGGCGCTCAACTGGGGAGCTCCGTGGTCTCCTTTGTCACCAGCCTACGGACAGTACTATTGCTTTTTCGGGAAGTACCGCGCTTACGTGTCCTTCTTTTTGGTGCCGATGGGAGTGCTTCTCCTGCTTGACCTGGGCCTATACATCCATATCATCATCTACGTTCGAAGATCATCGCACCTCCGGGGCTCCAAGAGTGGCCATCAGCCATCCGACGTGGCGCTGTTCTTCAAGCTCGCGCTGATCATGGGGGCCACTTGGTTCCTAGGCCTCTTGACCTTTCTCAACTCCACGGTAATCCAGGTCCTCACCAGCATCTTCACTGGACTTCAGGGCGTCTACCTCTTCTTCGGATTCAAGGACTACCAATATTTTTGTTCTGGTACGAAGGCAAAAAGAAAAGAGAAGGAAAAGCTGAGGTCTTCTAATAACTCGAACACGTCAAATCTTTCGAACAGTACAGAGCTGGAATCTGTGAGTGGAGCACCCGTTGGGAGCACCGCTACTGTGAACAAGTCGACCAATTCGGTGTGAGCGCTAGGCCGCGCCTGTTGCTGACGGTATGTCACTGAGAGTGCTGGACTTGGTGACAAAGGAATAAACATGTCCATACCTCGTTGAAGTGAGCAATTGCGGAACAGTAAAAAATTGCTTTCGACGTGAAGACAGTTGCTCCCTTGAGTGTTCTTGCGATTTGGAATGCATCCCATGATGTTGTTTAGAGTGTGGTTTTATTGGCGAATTCAATATTTAGCATCGTGGTCAGCCGCTACTGTAGAAAGACCGGGCCGAAAGACCGTGCTTGCACAAATAGACCAATCTGAGGTTAGGCGCCATATAGCGCTGTTGTGACAATCGACGGTGCATGTCTTGTACTGGATGGTGTTGAAACTATGTACAGTTTGGTCTAAACACTTATTATAACTGCGAACCTATCGTGTCCTATTTCCCAAAGGTATATTTGTCACGGGCAGCTTAAGGAACCCAGGGCCTGGATTGTTTCATTTAACTTTTTATTTAGAAATTCGATTGAACGCGTTCTTACCGTCTTATGCCACACTCATTGACAACCGACCGTTAATAAGATGCTCGAGACCTCAACCCCTGCGTTTCTTAAGTTATCGGTGACTTTGGGGACTTGACAGTAGGTGGCATAGCTTCCCACAGAAGCAAATTGTACATTGTCGTATGGATTATTTGCCGTCGATGCAACGATTTGGCGTCGATGCATTGATGCAACGCCGCCTAATAAAACGTTTGAAGGCAGTATGGGGCACACTCTGCGTTCCTGTCACACTATAGCAAACGTAATCTTGAGGTTGGTATCGAACATTAAATTTAAAACGAGCATATTCAATATATCATAGGCTTCGTATAGCTTTATCGCCGTGTAGATATATGAGCGACATTGCATGTGTAAATTGTGTTATAGATTGACATTATCATTATAGCAACTAAAATAACTTTTATGCTACGGGTTTAGTTATTTAGAATGAATTGCATTTTATACGGGCGATATAAGTAGAGATGTGTTTATATGGGCTTAGCACACTATGCAGTGCTCCGGGGACTGTTGGTTTGCAATCATCTGTACATAGTTTCAGATTGTACAATACCGTGTCATTTTCTCTGATTGCAAATTGTTCGAGGAGTAAAATTTCGCTGTACAATTTATGTCTTTGAAGTGTTGATATTTTTAAGGTTTGAACAAATATTTCAGAGCATCAATTCCATTGTTGGATCATTTTCATCAGGGCGCTCCACTGGAAATGGGGAGGGCCCTTGTTAGATACCAAGACCAGGTGGATTTGTTTAGTCACGCACAAGTCACCTAGTTGTGTTTGAAGATTTGCGTTGTCTATCGTCCCCCTTCTCCCCCTTCTCCAGAGATTATTATCGTTATGGTAGTGTGCAGGTTGATTTTTGATCCCTATTATGTTTTGGGACTCGGCAACGGCTGGACGTACTCCAAACAAAGCTCTGATTGTTTCCCTATGTGTTCTGCGTGGAAATAGAGCAGTGTCAGCCTTTAAGGCGCAGTCACGCAGCTCATACATCATACAGAAAAGACATGGCTGAAGACATGATGATATCCGTGGACACGGCTCAGGCATATTTGAATTATTACAATATCTATTCTTTAAACACGGCTGCAGGCTGATTGCGTGTCATCAATCTGACAGGACCATCATACAAGAAAGAAGCACGCCTCAGCCACTGTCTGCAGGCTGTCTTTAGTACGAGGCAACGGCAGTGTGACCACAGCCTGAGACGTTTATTCTCCGCAATTGCTTTCCACGTGGTGTATTGACACTGCAACATCGGTCCTCTTCTCCGTCTATGAGTTACGTATCTGTCCGTGTGCGCCTGCCTAAAACTCAACCGTACATATACGTATATCTATCATCGCATTATCTCACCTTCGTCTGGCAGTATCAGTATACGCTCTAGTGGCCAAGAATCTTTCCGGGGGGGGGGGGGGGGGGGGGGTTGCTATAGCAACCCAGTTATAACAGCTGCGCGTTATAACGCGCAGCTGTTACAAAGGCCCCACGGGGCCTTTGTACGAGATGCGGGTAGGGTTAGGTCTTGGAGTTTGTGTGAAGGTGTTGTGCGCTGGGTCCGGCCTTGGGGGTTGTTACAATCGGGCTTTGTTTATAATGCTGTGTAAGACCTGAGTTTGCTGGTTTGAAATAAGGTCAAGACGAGATGCACCCTAATTGAAGGTCCTAGGGGCGTGTGCAGTTTACGGGAGACGTGTGGGAGAGATGGTAATCTGATAATAAAGGTTAGTAGCTGCGTTTGGGGCGTTTTGTGTGTTGTCCCCTTTTTCGTTTGTTTACTCCGGTTTTTTTAAAAGCGTGTAACATCAACCAGCTCGCTTGTCTACTTACTCTATCTTCAAACAAACAGATTGCACTATTACCACTGGCCCGGTAGCGCATCGTCTACCCAGACGTAGGCTGAACTCTCCAGACTGTTGCTTTGGTGCCCATTCTGAAATTTCTCAGCCACCCAAGTTTATAAAAATTAGAGGTCCGCAGCTTCACCGCTAAACAATTGACTACCAGTCGTCGCCCACCCCAAGAAAGGACAACACAATCAGGAATAGATTGAATCGGAATGGGGGACACCCACAAACTACACAAAGAAAAAGAGACGGGTGGGATATCGGTACAGACCTTAGATATTGGGGATTCTGGTTAGAAACTCTCAGTTTTCTGACTGTTCTGCTTCAGTATTCTGTTCTTTTATTGTATGGTCATATCTCCCGGGCTTCACAATGAAGCTGTCTTTGTGCTTTTGCACTCCTGAAAACATACGAAGGAAGGGTCACTGTTGTAGGATTTTCATCCTACCGCAGCCTTTTCTTTAAAAAAATTCACAAGTGTCATAATGTACACAAAATGTGGCGCATCTGATGGTTGAAAAAGAGAATGTAATGTGTTTTCAATGTGTGTAAAAAGCTGTCAAAAAAGGCTTAAAAATCATTGTCTTTTGTCTTGACTATTTTGGCTATATATATATATATATATATATATATATATATATATATATATATATATATATACAACGGGCATGGTGGCGGGAGGCCGAAGGCGTGGGTACATAACTGAGAAGAAAAAAAACCTTGCTGAAAGCAGCAACGGACGATTTATTCTTTGTTCGTTGTTACTGCTTCCATTAAGGTTTATTTTCTTCTCAGTTATATATATATATATATAGACATAGATATAGATATAGATATATATATATATATCAGTTTACATGGCCTCCAGGAGGCGCAACGGCCACGCTCTCTGCTGTTCGCATTTGATTGGAACCAGGTAGTACAATTATACCGTGTATTGGGATTGCGAAAAAATGTTCCCTCATAAAACATTTCATTTTAGCTATTACTTCGTTCGCTGACTTAATATTAATCCGTTTTGCAGGAATGAGGAAAGTTCTGTATCTTTCCAGTGTTCTAAATTTGTCTAGACTGTTTATTCACCAAAAATATATGAGATATGGAAACAGAAGTTATGCTTTCTTGCAGATAATGGGACGTCTGGTAGAGTACTTATTTAAATAAAAAACAGATTTTTTAGTGTAATACAACCTAGTGTTTTTGATAATACAAGTATATTTGGGCAGTTTATTCACCAAAAGCTTGTGTATACTTGACGAATAACATAAGCCCTGTTTTTTAACCGGTGAGCTTGTCTGTATTTTAATTTTACATAACCATTTCCTTATTTTGACCGAAATTTTCCGGATAGTTCATGTTATATTACCAAAATTTTATTTTTTAGCGTAGATTATCGGGTTGCGCACCCTGCAAACAAGTTGAGCATAGTTTCGTTTTCACAAACCGTTTATCAGTAGCGCCCGCGTGTTCTTGCAAAACGGTGAGCAAGGAGCGCTAACTTCCGCGTCCAGAGTTGTGTGCTCAATGTTATCTGAAACGTAAACTGAGTTGCGTGGTCAACGTTATCTCAAGAAAAAAAAAAAAAAAAAAAGAAACAGGGTACTTCCTTGCATAGTTTCGTTTTGCACGTAATGAACAGAACGAAACTACGCTCATGACGGCCATAGTTTCGTTTTGCTTACTATGTAGTCGTATAGCCTCCTCTATACTCACAAAGCCTGGCAGTTCGATGACGGAGCCATAGAGTGCCCGGTCGCCGATTTGGAGCGCAGGGATCTGGTAGCACAGAGCATTTCTCGGGAAGCCTGCAATCAGTGCACAGCATTTGCAGCGACGAGGACCCGAAGCATGGTTTTCAATCCCGACGAGAAAAGAAGTGGCAGCCCGAGGAACGCGAGAAGCACGAGCGGACATTCCATCGTTTGGGACAAGTGTGTTTCGGCGTCTCGCCGCGGAGGGGCGCCCGTTACATGCTTGTAGTCTAACAAAAGTGAAGCAAAAAACAAAAAAAAAAAAGATGGGGTCCTTGAGTAACTCAATTTCAATTCGCTAGATATTTAAAACGTCTGCTGATTAAGCTGTATCCAACGTATTTCGCTTTTAGATATAAAATTGAATGCGCATGCAATGGAAAGAGCTAAGTTCGAGCTTTTCAGTGATATCAAGGTCATGAAAATATCTTGACTAGGTCAGACGTAAGAACTTTCCAAACTTTGATAAAACGCATAAAAGGGGCATTATTTGGCAAATTCAGCTAACAACAAAACGAGGACGAGAAAGGGACACAAACACGGCGCTGAATCTCAAGCGCCATGTTTGTGTCGCCTTCTTGTCCACGTCTTGTGCACTGAATTTGATGTCAATGATCACCAACTAGCTCAATTTTAAACCCACGTGAAAATTATTCCAGTTTGATTTTCTAAATTATTATAAAATACGAGATTCCTTTCAATTCATTAAGCATAATTCATTTTATTTGGAGGGTATCACGGAAGAGTCCCAATGCAGTAGTTTGAGAAGTGACTGAATATCGAGATGTCAAACATACATTCCCTAACAGGTTGAAAAAACGCCATTTTCTTGTTTTTGTTAGCTCAATCTGTTAATAACTTGAAAAAAAAAA